GTGTCGAACCGAGGACCATATACATTACAAAATGCTTCTCTTGAAGCAGTAAATGGTTCTATATTTTCCCACATATACTTGCCGGAAACAATACCTGAATTTGCTTCTACAATTTCTTCCTGGCTTTCGCCACCACCATTGTTACTCTCATTATCACTAATCGCTAACGTTCCCGGTGTCACCAACTGTGTATAATCAAAGTCTACACTCTCAATGTCCGAGCTACTATAACTGTCACTTCCAATAATTCGTCTAGAAGTGCCCTTTGTTCAGCATCAAATAACACACAACTGCTTGAAGGGATCTCCATTGTAAAACTGAGGCCAGTCGTCTATTTTTAGACTCCCAGGTAGTCCTTTAAGGGTTTGTCAACAAGGTTGCCGGATCTTCACACACAGAAAACTTTCCACAACAGAGTGCTACAAACCTCATTGCGCTGGCATTAATCATTACAAAGTTATGAGCTGAAGAAATTAGGCTTAAAGCCGGACGTAATACTACGCACAGCTGCAATCCCCAGGATTTAAAGGCCGGGCGTAATTTTACGCCACTCGGCGGTGAGGAGTTAATAGTAGATACTAGATAGGAGATAGGCATAGATGGGAGGATAATACTTAAATTAATCTAAGAGGTTATGAAGATGTAAACTACATTGAACTGGCTTGGAATATGGACCAATCCTAGGATTTTCTGAAAACAACAGTTAATTTCTTGACAAGCTAAATTTTCAACTGCCCAAACAACAAACTGAATTTCTACAAAAATAATGTATCAAAATACCTTTAAAATAATGGGAAGACTGAATGTTTGTTAAAATCATTGGATTTAGGTTCATTGTTCTTTCATTACCCCATAACGGCAAGACATTATTTTTCTTTTCTATCTTTTGATGAACCACCTTTCTTTCGTCATCTATACCTGGACTGGAGTTACCCCAAGGACTACCTGCAATGAAACATTCATGATAAATACAAGTTTTCAAACATATGTGATCATGCAAGTTCTTCAATAAATTCAGCTCCAAGGCCATACAGTTATAAATGTAGGAAGTCAAAAAAAAATTGAACAGATATACAACAAATTATAGCAAAAATGAATAAGACACATTACACACCATATGTCCCAACATATCAGCATATAGTTTAAAACCACTAAAATAAAACTTACACTACCTAAAATAACATAATATATGTTCCTTTAATCACTTAACAAAATTATGGATAAACAATAAAATGTTAAATCCTGATTTAACCTTTCCTCTAAAAATAAGCAATTAAAAATATATTTTTACAAGGTGAAGCCTTACAAACCAACCTCAAAATTACAAAAAATGCATAAACTGTACCCATTTTTCCAGATATTCTCAGCAAGACTAATATTGTCTTGATGAGAGCGCGCATTATATTCTTTGGTACACTGTCAAGAATGCAAATTCAGCACAACTAAAATAGACAAACTACCTTGTATGTAAGAACGAATAACACATGGTCTCAGCAAAACAACTTTCTATGAAACATCAAAGTCATGTGATATGTAAATATGAAATACAAGAAATCCTCCTTTTCTAAAATGAATACATATAAAATAATTCACCCTTGCTTTAATAATCAATATCTCTGTATTTTTCTAAGTTATTTAGGTTTTCTGTTCTTTGTAATGTGCTGGTTGTAACTGCAGTAGTTTTTTTAAATTTTTTTTTACAGTGACTTGTTCCACATTCAGATCTGGAACCTACAGAACACTGAGAAGACAATAAATTCTAATATAAAAATACACACACAGCCAGGAAAAATACATATTTCAATCAGAGATCTAAAAAGTATACTCACAATTAAAATATCTAATGAAAAAGGTCATTAACTTTGCACAAAAAAATCATTAAGTGAATCCACACTTCAAGTCTTACGCAAATCCATGTACTATCTACAGCATATTTCAGAAAAGACATTACAAAAGTTGATTTACTACTGGTTATTTCGTGCAGAACACTAATAACAAAATCGAAAATTTCTTATAACAATCTCCCGATGGCTTCCATTGTCACAATTCCCTAGCATCATGTTATATTCAACACGCATGTTTCATAAACAAACGCGTAAACATAAAAACAATATCAGACACTTCAACTTTTAATCCACAAATAAATTAGAAAAACATGCACTTTCTTAGCTTTTGAAACTCCACTTTCATTATTTTTTTATATCCGTCCTTAACTGAAATGAGCATTTTGCTGATTTACCTTCATTTTCACACCCTTCTACGGAATCCATTATATTTTTGTGACAGGAACCCCGATTTAAAATTCAATCTGTTTTCAGTTTAAAAATCAAATAACAATACGGAAAGTATTACACATAACAAATTAATAAACGTTACACTACTTTGTTTAGTTGTATTCCAATGGCTTCTAACCTTGGACATGACGTCAAAAACCAAAGAATATTAATTGAAAGAAAGGGCTTTTTATTTGGCAAAACTCTTTGGAAATAAATCATAAGAAATAAAGTTTAAATTTAATTACAATTAATTACAGAAAACTTGATCGTCATTTCGAAATTAATTTACATATTATATGTCCCTGGACTATCCCTGAACGATATTGTATTTTATCTAAAATAGCAAAAACATTGGACAGTACAAAACTGCCCATCTTTATCGATGATTCTATGAAAGTCTGTATCTCACTGCCTTGTTGAATTTGGTTTCATGCTACCAACATGGAAATGAGAAACCCGACATTTGTGATAACACGTAAAGATGGCAGCACATTGTTTCAATATAAATTATTTTAGAACAGAAAATTTGACTGTCAATACATAATACATTTGCATTTAGCCATAAAAATTATTTTATAACAGTAAGGTCAAGATCGTACAACTGACCATCAAATACTAAATTTGTTACTTCATTAGCAGGTGTAAGGGAATTCTGTTGTTTGTGCAATCAATGACCGCAATTTTTCTACGTTTCGCAACAAAATTAAAGGGGAGCGTAGCGTTCTCGTGTTCTTGTCCGAAAGTTCGAACTAAACCTAAAAACTTACCACCTTCCAATCCACATTTCAACCCCAATGATGGAAGCCAACATGCTAATCGAAAAACTTGGTCTACCACACCAACCCATAGGCCGCCACTTAAAAATTAAGGAATCAAATACGTCCTTTGCTATTGTCTTACTTGTATATATCATACATCCCTGGTTGTAAGTCAATAGATAATTTGCAAGTCAAATGAGAATCCTATGTCACCTCAGCCTGCGTAGTGATATGTAATTGGCTAATCACACGTTGCAGTCATTCCTAGCACCTTAAAACCTGGACCCCTTGGCCAAGGAAATACAGAAAATCCTAAATGCCCCATGGTAGCAATAGTTGGGCATAGAGCTGATACCTTCATCCTGTAAAAACGAAGATATCATAGCTTCTGGGAAACAGCTGAGTCAATGAGGAACATACAGTAAGGGGTGGTGGAAAAGATCAAGACTCAAAGCTTGTAGGAATTTCCTCAACTCAACTACATAAGGGCAGCATTTGGTAATCATATATAAAAAATAACTGAAATAAACTAAAGATTATAACAAACTGACTGACTGTTACATAAATACAAACATACATGGTTAGCTGCATAGTAAAAGACTGAAGGAAAAACATAGCATAATATTTTATGCCTGAAAACTCATTTGCAATAGCTTCCAATATTTAATATCAGAAATGCAGGTTATCTGTCTTAAACAAAATACACTTACATTATTAGGATGTAACTACAGTTATTTATAATAAATTTCAGTTTTATTCTAATGATTGACAGAAGCAAACTGGCAATGAGTAATGCGTAAGTTCACCACTGGTATCCTTGGCAGAAGAGAAAATAAATGGATCACTCACAATATCAGGAAACTAATAACAAGGTAATAAAACCCAAGAATTAGGATCTTCACTTCCCTCAAATAGCTGAAGTCAATAAAAATGAAGTCAGAAACAGGATATACAAGCCTGATTATTCTTTAATAATGGAGCAATCACAGTGTTGTACCATTGTTCTTCATTTACTCCTATTTCTTAAAAATCACAATTATTTTATGAATCCTGAAGTGGTTACTGTCAATTTAAAACTGGTCTTCTTTCTGTATGTATGGTAAACTTAACTTCTCATCAGTGGATGGTTTCTCAAGCTTAATTTTTGAGAGTACTTCTAATGCTGCCAATATCTTTCTTGCATCCTCACAAATCTGAAACAGATTCATACCTCTGAATTAAACCATTCTACTATTTTACGTGAAAGTAGGTGTTAAGGTGTTACACACCACATCTATCCCATACAACCAGTACTTGTATTCACATGGTGCATGATTCAAATCTCAGACTGGTTACTGACTATCCTGAGTTTTTAATATTTTCCTCCCCCAAATTCAAGTCAGATGTGTTATGACTGTATCAGCCCACACAATCACTTTTGTAATGTCAAATAAGGCATAAATGTTTCTTACCCCCTTCACTTTATCCACTTTGTTAGCTAGTTCAGGTATTAGACTGTCATATTCATCCAGTTCCAAATTCTTAGGTGTATCCAATATCCATGGCATCAAGAAAGTAGCCATGTCATTTCTGAAGATGTCAACTTGATGTTTCAGTTTGTCTAAATCTTCTGTATCCTGAATCCCAGTATTACAAAATTCTTCCTGGGAAACAAAATAATCTAGTTTATTAAAACTGTAATTTACTCATAAATCCCTCTGTACATGTGGCATAGGAAACAATGTATGATTCCAGTGAATCCAATTCAATAAATAAAACATAATACGCATACCTATGCCTACAACTAATTTAATAAAATTTTGATGAAAGACTCTTGGGCTACAAACTGCATCAGGTGGCTAAATGTTGAATACACCATATCCTCTGCCAACGTTTTGAGAGCCATCTCTGCTCTCATCCTCAGGGCAGCTGCGTTAACAAACTGGTCCTCTGCAGCGCACTCGCTGATGGGAACCTGACACAGCTTGTAGCCCAAGAGTCTTTCATCAACTTCAGTCACGCCACGAAAGTTTCACTTTATTCATAAAATTTTGTTACTCAGCAACAATACAGCATTATACAAATGGCCACAAAGTGAAAAATCAGGACCATATGAAGTAGGCATTCACCAAGCATTAAGATATTACAAACAGAATCTATATTAACAGTTACATACAAACAAGTACTTACAGTGTCTTCTGATGGCAGACATGCTTCCTTATCTTTTTCCAGATCTCTTAACTTACTTTCTTCTAATACTTTTTTCTTCAGTAATTTCTCCACTGACATGTTCTTAGCCGAATCTTTTGGCACTTTTAATGGCAAGATACCTTTCCTTCTTTTAGGCTGCAACACATCCTGTTTAACAGTGTTATAATAAAACTACACATAAAATTAACCTTACAAAGAAGCTGCTCTTCCTGCTTTATCTAACAATGTTTCATCAGCTGCATAAGTTATGAAACATCCAATGAGAGGATCATGGTAAAGGATGAATGGGGAAGAATATTTACTGAATTGGAGACTGGGTAGACCCCAGAACTGGTCTTAATGTAGTAGCAAAGATTAAAATATCTGCCCCAGCCAGGAACTGACCCTATCGAGTTCATATTATTTTACTACACAATTAAAACTATACTCGAAACCATCATACCCAGTTTTCATACAGGCAAAATTGATTTACATTATTGCATTTAATAAGCTGATTTCCATACACCCTTCTCTAGCAAAGATAACAATCTTGTCTGTTTTGTTAAACAACTTTCAAAGTGCAGATCTTTACAATTGGTTATGGTGCATCTCTCAATATAAACAGTTGGCCATTGGTCAAATTTAAAAATGTTTTGTGCCTCTAATGGAACATGTCAGAGAGAGATACAACAGTAAAGTTCATAACCAGTCAGCTACAATTCAAACGGCCAGACTGAAGCTTCTGTTAACAGAGTGTGAATGTTCTTAAAAACAGTACTGTAATGTGCAGGTCTGGGATTGTTCTATGTGCTATTCCTTGTCTTCAGGTACACTACATGCTTAAGAGGTACTAAGGCATCAGTGCATAATGTAATATTTTTATGTGAATTCACAAAGGTCATTCCAAAAGTCATGGGCACATTTACTGTACATCAAAACAATGTACATGAGAGAAAATGGATAATGTTGATAGTATATAGACATGTTCAGTCACTTTTATAACAAATCTAAAGAATGCCCCATGTATTTCTGCCAGTACTAGACAGATTCTTGGAGTGTTGCCATTCTCACGTTAGTTAGGTACCAGTACTCACTTTCAGGTCAGGGTTTGCTGCCAGCTCAAGCCAAAACTTATTAATATTTTTGTAAGTACTAACAGATGTAGGTTTTGCCTCCTGGTACATTCTAACTATGTGAAACAGCCTCTTCCAGAACTCAAAGTTATCTTCTGCTGAGCACTTACCCTAGAAAGTGATGTAAAAGAATAACATCTGATTGAAATTTCACACTTGATATTCTGGTGGGGAATGAGATTAATCACTAAGATACTTTGACAACTGAGAGGCACTGCTCATGTCTGACATGTGGTACTATGGTGGTCATAAATGGAGATATAAGAAACCTGTATAAAAGTTTTGTAACAAAACTAAGACATTTTGAATAGTCTAAACAGTATAGTAATGGGTGAAAATACTATAGTAATCGAAAGTCCTACTTTCTGACTGCGCATTGCCAGCAGATAGTAGAAACACCTTTTCTAGTCTCATCAATGGCTGTAATCACTAAGAAATAAATGCTCATGAAATAGTGACATTGTGAGAACACTGAAAAATAATTCAAAAAATAAATTCATAACACCAAGGCTCTCATACTAGAGGAACAAAGCTTAACAGGAATGTAGTTCTACTTACCAGTACAATATCCAAATTTGAAGGCAAGCACAAGCCACATTCAACAACTACTTCTGTAATATCTGTAATAGAATGTTCAAACAACTGACTACAAACATTCTGAAATGTTAATGTCTAAACAAGATGGCAGTTTTATGTTGACAACTGAAAGTATCCATACTAAAAGGACAAGTAAGTTTTGTGCTAAATGGTAAGTATCCCTACTAAAATAATGTTGAGAACATTCAGTTTACACATTTTAAAAGTATTGAGTTTCTGATCAAACAACATTGTATGGAAAAACATAAGTAAAAAATGTAAGGTAAAACATCGTGTAACAAGATGAAGTGGTTTGTGGCTCCAGTGGGCAAAGCCCATACCCTGAAATATACCTCACTGCAGATTTCATGCATTATTTCAGCAGTCAAACAAATTAGCTGAAGAAAGGACATTTATTCAGCTTTATTCATACTAAAACTCTCAACAAAATTATTTGTTGTTCTCAGGACAGCTACTTCTAACACAAACCTAACCTAAAATGCAACTGAATCAGCTCAAACCCACTGAAATGGAGTTTACTAAAACAAAAGGAAAATATTACCTCGTTCTTTAATTTCAATACCCAATGCAGACAATGCCCAGTGAATGAGCTCAAGTCGTTCTTCTCCTGGTTCCAGCAAACAATCCTTAAGACTATGTCTGTCCATGTGTATGCCTGAAGCAGACACCTGGCAGTGGATCTGATCAAGAAACTCTTCAAATTCCTCCATTCTAATAGATACAAAATCATTACTTTCTGTGATAAGTTTGTTAAAGTAACATGGATTGGCAATGTCTGGTGTAACTGATAAAATCGACTAAAAAAATCGTGATACTTAGTTTTGAAGACTTGGCTACTAAATGTGTAGCATATTGATGTTGATACACCAACAAAACACTGGGAACTTAGTCATCCCTCCCTTCATGTGAATTTATTACTAACCCTATTTTCAACGGAAATGCCCCTTTCTAAAGAAGGGTCCCACTGTCCTACAAAAATTAACAATGACGCATTAACTATCCCTTCCCTTGGCATGCCCCTCAATTTGACCACCTTCCTTTTGGATAAAATGTAATTTTCAATACCGCTGTATCAACTACGTCAAACTTGGCACAAATGTAGGTTTTTCTGTAAAGATATACCTATACAAGCTACGTTTGCCAAGCATGTTTCCTAATCGTGAGGAATTCCGAAAAAGTGCTCACAACGTTTTAACTAAGTTAACCAAATAAAGCAATGGAAACCCACTAACCTCCAGCAAGATAAATAACATATATGCTATTAAATATCGAGAAAACTAGCCGATGCATAGCATACGCAATTAAATTGCTAGTGAAAATAAGTTTACAACAGCTTAACTTACATCACTTCAACTACAGAAATAGTCCAGATGATTGGTCATCGGTACTATAACAAATTAAGGACGGCGCGCACTGGTTCCACTCAGTACAGGCGTTGGTCATTTGTGTTCAGAACCCGTTAATCACTACCACAGACTAAAAAACCATATTTTGGCCGTTTTCCTTTCATATGGAACATTTTATATACTGTGAGGCATTTTCGAAACCGCTGTCTTCGAACACAGAAACACAATGCAAACCACGTTAAAAATCTACGAGTAGAGATATTTGTTATGACCGAAGATACTTTTGTGCGCGGTTGCTTAGTTCAATTTTCGTCCTCCGTTTGGTGGCATATGCTAGCACCAAAAAGTACATAAATCAGAATGAACCTATTTGTAAAAATAAAGACGTAATTGTTTTCTATCACAAAATATCAGTTTCATTTTTTAACATGTTTGCCAGCTGGTGAACATTTGGAATGATTTCAATTCTAAGAACAAGTATAATTCAAATAAAAGTGTCATGTTCGGTTGTAACACCATGAGAATTCATGGACTTGTAGGTAGATATCAACATTTGAGAGAGATGTAGTCTACTTCAAGGTTGCTGCGAGGACCTCATGTCGTATTTACATAAGAGTATTTCAGTACAAATCTGTACTTATTTTAATAAAGTTCATTGCAGAAAATTTCTGCAATATCATGCATGATGACCGAAAAACTTCCTTTACAATGGAGTATAGTTGTATATATGCGTCTTTGATCTGCTAAATCCCAATATTTTTTATAATATATGATATTTAAAGGTAAAACTTTGTTCCACAGTTAAAGGTAAACAATAAAAGGCACGAAGTGAATTCCATTTGATTCATTTTCAAGATTTTGGTTATTTTCATCAGGACTTGAAGTTTGTTTAATTACCAGTTTATTTGATTGATCGTTATTATGTATGAATTTGAGATCGACAGCTCCAACTAAAATGAAGTGCCTATTTGCCACACTTTATTGCTCTTGGGAAACTAATCTAATTCTAAATTTTTATCAAAGTATAGCAGCTTTGGCCTTGAATAACATTTGTAGGCTATTTAGTTATATTGTTCCATCTGCAGAGGTTATATGGCATTGAATGAATTGGGAAAGTTATCATGGTGGTAGATAAGGATTAGGAAGTAAACACTGTGATCTGTTTCAAGGAATTATTCCTTTTGCCTGAAGACACCTAGGGAACTGGTGACAGCTGATAGGTGTGAAAATTGATATTTGATATTAGCAACTGCATCAATCTTTAACCATCTGTTGGAAGTAACTGGTACCAATGTTTGTCATTTGGGATTAGATTTAAAATCATATAATTACAAATGCTATGGTCTTCTTAGATTTTTAACAAATTTACGTTATAATTGGCATTTTAATTGATTATTGGTGAACCATGAACAATACTGTTCTTTGTAACAAACCTAAATTTCAGAAAGTTTTAATAACAAGATTAACTTGGATGGACATATGGGGGGACATTCAAATCTGACCTGAAAATTTCACTGTTTCTCATAGGCAATGATATGGGCTTGTATAATTTTTGCACAGTCTAAATATATAGTCTGTTGACTGTAGTCTATCATTGTGACTTTATACCTTGAGGACACTGAATTATGTGAAACATGTAAGATGATTTACTGACATGCTATGATCAAAATTCCAGGTCAAATCTGAATTACCCTTACATCTGTGTTGGTTTCTTGGACCACAACATGACAATATCTGCCTGTATACACCATCATTTAATGTTCATTTCCAAAAGTTTGGTTTGTCAGCCAATGCATATGTGTGGTTACAGATAAGAGTTTTGTGTGTGATATTACAAACAACATGGTTCAAGTTAATATTAATTTTTTTATATAACACTGAATTTCACTACAGAGGAGATGGTTTAAATAACAAAATTCTGACATTTGAATGTAGACTGTGAATGACTATCATTAATTCAGTAATAAGACTTGCCTATGTCTCATGAACTCCCGTCTGTGTTGAAATCTTATGGATGGAATATGATGGCATTTTAAAATAAAACTCTACCAGTATTTTTACTTTCTCTCATGGAAGCTCCGTTTTTGAGTATACAGAAATCTTGGACAGCCACACACATCACAACTTTAACTTGGCTGTTTGTTGACACACACTGTAGATGCTGCTTCCCTTCCCACATGCATTAGCTTCATGTTCATGAACTGCTAGAACCATTATCTGAAAATTTTTAAACTTCTATTTAGGATTCTGTTAGTTTATTAGACACCAATATTTATTATTCAAATAAAATCATATATACTGCAAGTACTTGAAAATTTATAACATATTCTCACAGCTATTTAGGGAATGTCTTTCCACTGAAGAATCAGATACCTGTTTTCTTGAGAATGCATCATTTTGTGCACACACAAGCACAGTACAAACATCAGTGGAATATCGTTGTACAGTGAAAGCCATCATTCATATTGATGCTGCATGATCACTAGCTATGCTCTCCAGTTCATCACTATCACAATTGCTGGAGGCTCCACCACTTCCTGGCATTGCAACTCTGGCATATTCATCTGTGTCAATTGATTTGCAGAAGTGAATAGCATATTTAAGTTTCTCTCTGAGAACAGCCTGAAAAATTAGAGAGATAAACACATGAGCTGATGCCAGAAACCAGCAGGTCCTACGATGACAGCCACTACCACTACTACTACAACACTGCCATCAGTCAGGAACACAACTAACTTAGACATCCTGTCTTCAATGACTGTATTAACCCCACTCTCCATTTAATATCATTTTCCCTGCCATTCTTGTCCTTCTCTGCCTTTTTTCTTTCATCACCACACCAACTTATGTCCTCAATTTTATCAAAATCTCTCACTTTCTCCATCTTCCTCTCCACTATTCTATTCTACCTCCCTCTTCTCGGTTCAACAGAACAAATAAAAGTTATATATAGGAGACTGAAATTTTCTCTCAACATGCAATATTATATACAGGATAATTATTCTTACCTTACATGAATATCGTGGCATCTTCAGCAAGAAGAAACAAGTATAACTCTCTGGCAGGAAATGGTCAGGAGGGTTGTACTTATCGAGGACCTAGAAGAAATTAATGGGCAAACTCTGGATCGTATGCATTCAGTGACCTAGACTAAGCAAGGATTCAGATTAATAGCAAGTGCTGTAGCATATGTTATAATCAGCACATACAAGTTACCCATCTGTATGTCTTAATACTGCATTATTAAGTTGATCTGAGATTTTAAAAATGCCTTATTAAATATTTACTGCATTTCCTGTTGTATAAGACAGTTATTTCCCTAAAAAGCATAGTGCATCTTGTACATTGGAAAGTGACCATATAAATGAGATAAACATTAAAACCACAGTTAATAAGCCATTTTTTCCTTAGAAGTGACTCCTAGATTACAGTTCATGTCCTTTCCTTTTTACATTGGCCTCAAAACTGCAGTTCACTTCATAATGCAGAATTTTTTTACTTTCATTAATTTCAACTGAGCAGTATGCTATCATCTGGATGTATAGCAGAAATGTAATTTATTGTATGCATTTACTGGTAACTTGTACTACCATTAAGAATATCATTCTACAATTTCAGTATAACTTGAGAGCTGTTCACGACTGTAATCTTGAGACTTGCGGGGTGAGGAAATGGGGTGAAGGAGGAAAGATAGTGTCTGCCCTTAACACTTAGGACTTACTGCATTCCTTGCAAGTCTCAAGATTACAGTTGCAAACTATACTAGGTGGACACTTGTGTGGACCCTGACTGCCAGTTAATTGGAAAACCTAATGCACAGTTTTCCTAAATCTGTAAACAACCTTTATTTATTCTGCACTCACATTCAAGTTTATCACCAAAAATGGTGAAAAAACTGTCATTTTAAAATGGGGAAAAATATCCTTCAAGTCTTGAAAATAACTTGAACCTGAATAGTTATGACAATAATAAACAAACTTTCTTACCTGAAGTACAAAATCACGTCCTCTGAAGTCTGCAATGGTCTGTGGGAGACGAGTTCTTCCCCATACAAAACGCAAGAAGAGTGACCGTTCTTGGTTTGTGAATTCCTCCATAACATCCCAGAACCATTGAATAAGTGAAGCATTTACATCAACACCTGGAACGATGTAACTGATCAGTAACAGAAAGTATTCTATCAGGCAGACATAAGAGAAATGTCAACATTTTCAATATTTCTGACTGGGAACCACAATTTTTCTTCTCATGCTTGAACAGTTCTAAAAGACAAATGTAAATGGCTTGGTAAAAAGTTTGAGAAAGGAAAACTACATACAGTCAGTGTCTGTATATACAATAATGATATTATATAATTTATAAAACTAACATAATTATAACAGTGAGTTTTCAGCTGAGTCCTGATTAACTAATACTGTAGTTCAGTTGGCTCAAAGAAAATATTTTATTAATACTGTGATACACTGTATTTGTCAAATGATGTACAAAGGACATGTAGCTTGTATGGAGAGATGAGATATGTGTACAAAAGTTTTGACGGAGAAATTAAATGGAAGGGACCAATTGAGAGGCCCATGTGTAGAAAGGAAGACAATATTAAAGTTGATATTAACATAACAGGGTGCAAGGATGTGGACCAGATTCAGCTGGCTCAAAATTGTGCCCAGTTGTCAGCTGTCATGAATATGGTAGAGCCTTTGGGTTCCACAAAGGATGAAAAATTTCTTGACCACATAAACAATTGTCAGCTTCTTAAGTAGAACTGTGCTGCATAGTTAGGTGCACTTCTCAAAGATATATTTTGAGAGAATCCTCTTATCTTGGCCTACCTTCCTTCATGTTTTCCTCCACAAATTTTAATAAACATTTCTTGATTCCCACACATACAAAATAAACTTAAACAAAACAAAAAAAGGAAACCACTAATGGCTAGACCACAAAATCTGAGGGCTGTAAAATGGTCCACTGAAGATATTACTCATACAGAACAGGGAAAAATATTTCAGTGTGAATCTTACCAACATATAAAAACCCTTACCTTTGTAAGTGGCCACAGACTTGAGAAGGTTGAGTGGAATGTCAGGAGAACCACAAACCATTGTTTCAAGTTCATAACCGCTGAACAGAGACAGCAGTGGAACTGGAATAACTTTTGCCATTCCTTCCCGAACTGCAGACACTTGTTCATCAAACTCATGAAGCCTGCAATTGGTAAGATCAAGACAGGTATACAAAATACTGCACATTACCCATATGTTATATGTAAAATTTTCTGTTACAACTTGTGTGATGATTAATGACATCATCACCTGTAAAGCATATAATAACTCAAGTATGTCTGTATGGATTTTCATGAAATTCAGTATGGATGTTATGCCATAGTAGTACTCCAAACTCAGTGGTTTTTGATATCCTCTAGATGGTAATGCCAATGTGATGAATGCTCAAGCTGTGAGGTGGGAGGATGATTATCTGCCTCCGAGAAAATTATATTGCCCATGATGGCCCATTGTGTCAAGCTTCAAAGCAGACAACAAATCCCATAACAAAGTTGAACCACCACAAAAATTTACTCACTGTAGTGCTGAAATCTGTTCTTTCCTAGAGACACATCAGTGTCACTGTAATTGCATGCTTTAGACCTACCTATAATTGAGTGCAAGACGCACATATTCAAGCCTGTTGTCGGGCATGATGCGGTGGTATCGAGTGGAGAGAGGTACTTCATTCCCATATGCTGAGGGTGTGGAAAATGGCATTTCTAATGTCTGGAACACTTTTGTATCTGGTTCCATGTCCCGAATGCACAGAAGTCCTGCAAACAATGCACATTAAAAGCAACAATTAAGTCACTGCTCAACCTACAAAGCAGATATATTATATATGCTAGCCAACACATAATGAGTATGTCAAGAAATGTGTTGTTACGCCTTTGTAAGATACAGAAGCTATCACTTTTCTGATAATCGACCTTTCCTATTGATTTTTGGAAGAAATCAGAAACTACATGAGCTAAAGAGAAAATGTGAATTTAAAACATATCCATTAAGAGAAGGGCCATAATAGTCTGTCTTGTTAAAATTTACTGAATTTGACCCTCTGACTTGCTAAAACTCCAGACTAATTCTCAAATCTTTATACACATTGTAGGCCTTCTTGGACACAGGTCTGACTGGAGCTAAAGTAAGAACTCATAAAACAACTTTCCTATTGCAGACTTCTGGGCCTAGACATCTTGTGCTGTTAATGTTACATTTATGTAGCTTTATAATCTAACAATAAAATGCAAATCACTTCGTGGGTTTGTGTGCCGAGTCTGAATTTTCTATTATTTTTTGAGGTACTTCAATTACTCACTATCCATTTCAAGAAAAATCACAGTTCAAGTAAAAATGTATGTGGTTGGTAAGACTATACATGAACTGCTGGTAAGTATTGTATGGTGTACCTGGGACATAGTCCCGGTCCACCTCTGTGAGATCTGCAGGTGTAAGAGTCATTCCTGCCAATAGCTTCCATACAGGTTCAACAAGATTCAGGCTCAGTGGACTCCCTGTCCTTATGGCTATTCCCATCATAACACCTGCAACAAGCACTGTCAATGAAACACTTTCGTTCAACCAACTGACACGGTACGTATATTTAGTTTTTACTTTTACCCACTGTGCTATATTGGCATGAAACTGAGGAAAAGAAAACTGAGATTATCTGGAAACAAAGTTCTTCTCTTAATGGCAATGGCATTGTATTACTACTTTATTTCTTTTGTACTCATCCAATGTCAGTCATGTAAGCCTTAAAATGCATACATAGCTTTAGATATAAAAACAAAAGGTAAAAGACCAATTAGAAGGCCTAGGTATAGATAAGAAGATACTATTATACTTGGTATTAAAGGAACAGGGTGGAGAGCATGGACTGGATTCAACTGGCTCAAGAAAGTGTCTTACTTTACATGTCTGGCTACCAGTTCATTCATTGGTGATCATCATCAGACTAAAAAGTAAATACAGATGATGCATAAAATGGGCATGTTGTAGCCTTACCTAAAAATCTGAACATATTCATGTGTAATGGTGATTTGGCCATCGGACTGAGCAAGAAGCAGTCTCTGTTGGTTCCTGCATCATCTCTACCATTAGGTGTTGGTATCAGCAATGGAAGGGAGCCGTTCTGCAACTCGTCACACATCTCCGTGATGCTCTCACTGTAGCCACCTCCACAGTCGTCTACACTTTCGCCTACACAAAACAATAAATATATTTATTTAAATTCATACAAAGTTTTGTTTCACTACTGATGCTGTAATGTAAGTTACACTGTTTACTATACAGATATTACAATTTCTGTGACATTGTTCTTACCAACAAATTTTACTTTCCAAACACGATGAGGAAGGAACAAAGCCTCCTGGGCGAGAAGCGACATTTTAGTGACCATCTGACCAAACACTGATTTGATCCCATCTGGTCCTGCTAGGCCACCCTTGCTGCGAGACCGCTTTACTTGAATTCGATTCAGTTCAATAACTGGCCCATGCTGTCGGTCACGTACCATTGTAGCCTGTATGACCTATCAACCAAAAAAATATGTTTTAATCCAGATCTATAATAATACTTCCAGTGACCTACAGATAAGTATGCAAAATGGTAGGGTTGGAATATGGAAGTGCTGCAATAAAACTTCATGACAGAACTTGCAAATTTTTGAAATCACCTCAGTCTTTCCTAGAAACCTTATCTGCAATCAACAGTTTATCAGAGTTTGATGAAAAACAATATTAATAACACCAAGAACAACAAAAATGCCACTGTGCAATAATTCATTTGAAACATAACATACATACTTTTTTAAAAGCTGCTTCCTTTGTTGATGATACAAGTATTCCTCGGAGTTTATCTAAGCTACCCTCTCCATCTATGGGGAACATGGCAACACCAGGACAAAAGAGTTCAGAGAAGTGGTGCAGGAGAACAAGACGGTTGCGTAAAGTAGGCAGCGGGAAGTCCCGAACCAAATCATATTCCAAAGGTGTGCTAACTGGTAGGCGGCTGGCAGATACAGGTTTGTTTGTGCTCCATGCCAGTGTATGGGCTGAACCACATGCCACCTGTGTTATCTTCTTTGCCTTCAACATTCAGGAACAAACATTTTAATTTCAGCATAAAACAAACATGGCACCTGTCAGAAAACTGACTGGTACACAATGGATTTCATAAAATTAAATCTGATGCATTACATTCTCATCCAGTGTTCTGCAGGCAAATTTCTACCAGTCCAGAGCTTGTTTTATGACAGTCCACAAATTCCATTCACAGTTATTTTATATACATTCTATCACTGCTGAAACTATTTTACAACCAATGGCATTTTTTGTTTCCTTCTAGTGACTAACAGTTTGTTTTAAATATTACTAAATGTGTGTGCATTCTGACTAGGTAAGTCTATCATTATTTTTCTTTCTATTATATATTGACAAGAAACTTGAGACAAATTCAATTATTTATGTCCTCATCATATTTAATTGCACATGTTGAATGTAGATAATTAAGATGTCTGTAAAATTGTAACACCACATCAAGTTGTCAACATTTTATACTGTGAATAAACATATTTGACATGATTCAAAGCTGCTAGTAATAATTAGAGTTGCACACTTATTTATACTACACAGTGTGAGATAGGGAACCAGTTCTCAAAAAATTTGCTTTAATATGAAGAAGTATAAATGGCTAATGGATATGAGAAAGTTCTGGCCAGAAATTACTAAGAACTACCATAAAGGAACTAGAGTTGCAATATTGAATTGTAGCTGTTAGAAATGTCAGTTACCTGCAATGCAACCACAAGCCTTGGTCTCTGAATAGCATTGGTTGTTCCATCACCAAGTTGACCTTCATCGTTGTCACCCCAAGTGTACACTTCTCCCTGATCACTGCATGCAACACAGTGAAGTGACCCTATAAGAAGATATGATGCAAAGTTTGGTGGAGTTAACAGAACTTAAGAGCTGTGAGAGCCTTGATCTCTCACCTAGATTCTTGCTATAAATATTTCTTACTAAAATGTCTGTTTGAATTCTATATGCATAATAATCTCAACCTCTGATTTAATTAACCAAATAATAGTATGTAAACAATACAAATTAGGAAGTTAACTATTATGCAATTTTTTCTATTCAACAGCAAACTGATTTTAGTCAGGTCCAAATATTTTCATCAGCATTTTGTTCTCATGTTTTCATGGCAAGAGAGGTTACAAGACAGCATGTAAATGCATAGTTTTATGTGTTCTAAGTTTTAGATCAGAAGATAAAATATTCTAGTATGCATTTCTTCAGTTTAAAACTTTCTCAATCAAACTGGAAATATCATATCTATGTATGTGTAGATGATTCAGTACAGCAGACAAAGGACAACAAGATCTGAAAATGGAAAACAAGAACTACAGTGGGGATCTTAAATTTATCATATTATAATCCTATTTACCAGTAGCTATGCATATTATTTTCTTTCCTTGGAGAGCAGCTACTTTGCGTGGTCTTCTAACGTGATCATCTGTGCCATGACCTAACCGGTGATAATCACCCTTCCCCCTGCAAGTAAAAGTTCATCAAGCAAAAGTTAACAATACTTCTCCACATATACAAAATGGCTAATATATGACAATTAAAAGCTGTTGATCTTAGCTATAACGTGTATTTAATATGATAGCTCTGATATAACAACAGTGTTTGCCTAAAGTGTGTGTGTGTATATAACATATATTGATTAGAAACATTTATTATGAACAGCACAAATCTTCATGATACAATGAATGACATTACAATATGCTCCTGTCTGTAAGTCTGACATAACGAAGGAAAGAAACTTTTTACATAATCACCTCTTCCACTGTTATGGATGTAATAGCTCCACTTTGTAGAAACAGGTGGAATAATTAATGAAATACATAATACTGAAAAATTAATTTTTTACACGAAATTTCAGTGGGAAAAGAAAGCTGTATTATACAGAAATTAAGTATATCTGAAGTATATATGTACAGTATTGGAAAATAAGCCGGAATAGCTCAGTCAGTATAGTGACTGGCTATGGGCTGGATGACTGGGGTTTGATCCCTGACGGGGGCAGAGGATTTTTCCTCTAGCTTCTGCATCCAGACCAGCTTTGAGGCCCACCCAGCCTCTTATCCAATGGGTACCGGGGTCCTTTCTTGGGGGTAAAGTGCGGCCAGGGCGTGATGCTGACCACCCACCCTCATATAGTGCCAAGGATTTTGATGACAGAAACCAGACAAAACACACTCTTAGTAAGGACAAGCTAAACACTCACCATGTGTAGACACTGCCAGAGCGAGTAAGTGCCACAGAAAACTGCGATCCACACTCCACTTTTATCACCCCAAGACCAGCCAGTGACTCAATTTTCATAGGAATCTAAAAGGAAAATTGCAACTGTGTTAATGTATACCTCTTTAGTTTGTTATATATGTATATAAGCTACATGAGCACAGCCAATTTATGTAATGTTGAATCAAGCCAAATTCTGTATTTTGGTGTTAGATATGTAATTGTATAAAATTGTGCATAATAACCAATTAATTGTCTACAGGTAAGGTAGTTAGTTAACAGGTGACTAAGAATCGATTGATTTAAAAGACCAATTAAATATAACAGTCCTAGTTTTAAGCATTGTACCTCCTGACCTTTTTTCACTATATAAAATAAATATTAACCTTACAACCATCAGAGCCTCCACGTCCCAATTTACCATAATCACCATCTCCCCATGACCATACATTGTCATCATCAGTAATGCACAGAGTCTGAGCATCTCCACTGCCACATGCAATGTCCATCACTCGGTAACCAAGCAGTGCTTCAACCTGAACAAAGAAAACAAAGCATTACTTATACAATTCATACTAATCAGCAACATGTTAAATACAGACCAAGTTTAGCATTCTTTTTCTACCCTTACACCAAATATAACAGTATACAGATTCTGGTATTTTGCTTCTGATTAATTTTATACAAATTACACACAGACACACACAAAAGTAGCTGCAGTAACACTATGGTATAAGTCTGTGGGCCTCATATAGAAAAACTAAGACACAGTCACTAATAGCAGTCTTATGTGTCACGATATGAGTTAATTATTGCCCATACGCATTATGCAAAGTTAAAAACTTTTTAGGATTTGAGATTCTGAGTATGAAGATGGCTGTATTCAGGGTTGCAGTGCCATGTAGTCTGGTAGAAGTTTATTAGCATTTCAGAGATCCTTACTGCATTCATCATCAGGGCAATGGGTAAGCCACTTACACAACACTACAACCGAGAAGACAGCCATCTTCTAACATCATTTTTACCAACCACTTTTGGTTTGAGCTGGTCCTCACTGTCCCCATGCCCAAGTCTCCCATATCGACCCTTTCCCCAAGTATAGACCTCACGATTGCAGGTGATGGCTGCTGAGTGGGCTCCTCCACATGCAATGTCTATGATCTCCTTGCCTCGTAAAGCCTCGATCACCCGCGGGCGCTCACAGGAACTGGAATTAATTACATATCTTTTCTATACTATATAAAAGAGACTGAACAGAAATCATCAATTTTGAAGGGCTCAGAAATGAGAGACACCTATGGATGCTCTTATTAGTCTCGTGATAACATCTTACATGGAAAGTGGAAAATCTACATCTTGAATTCACATCAAGGGATGGAACTGTCTGATCCCTGAAGTCACAGACATGACGATGAACATGATAAATTCTTTTTATTTCGACCAAAAGAAAAACATTTTAATTGTACTCAGATGTGCAGAAGATGTGAAAAAGGAAAAATAATCAGCAGACTTTAATACCAAAAGTAGTGAGTGGGGCAATGGGTAAATTCCACAGTAACACAAATACAGTGAAACCTCGATGCATCGTTTTCGGCGGGGGTGGGAAATAAAAACGATGAATGCGGGAAAACGATAGATGCGGGAAAGCATTAAAAATTTAAAAAAAAACAATGTTTCTCTTTCAAAGTTACTTCTTTTTACCAAAAAAGTCTTTAATGGACAACTGGTTTGTCGAAACTTTACGTTTTAGACCAAACAGAGCACTTTCCACGTTCAAAATGTTTTCCTCGTCACGTTCACTAATATTAAGCGCATAAAAGAACAACTTCACTTTCGCCAATGCAGCGTGCGCTTCGGCAAAACTCGGCAAAGCTTCGGGCTCGCATTCGTCGTCTCCCTCTTCCTCACCACTCCAACCCCCTTTGCGGACAATAACAGGAAGAATGGAAATACTATTACTGCCGAAC